GGGAGTCAAGGAACCAGAGGTGCTATCCCCAGCTCACTTTGTAGAAATGTATATGGCTGCTTGTGTCAGGAACCAGAGGTGATAACCCCTGCTCACTTTGTAGAAATGTATGTGGCTACTTGTGCACTCTCAGCCTCAGAAGCTTGAGAAAGAGTGACTGGACATGTGTGGATTCAGTTTCATTACCTAGTGATCTGGTCGAGCTGGATCCATGGACAATGGGGCACTACACTAGAGCCCAAGTTAATGAGTTCTCCCCTTAGTTTCTGCTCAACCTTCCACCTTCTACCATGAGTTCAGGCTAAGAAGCATTTCTTCAGGGAACCGGAGAATGGGCACAGGGCCAGGAGTTGAATCCATGATAAGGACATGGTGGGGACAGAAAAAAAGAGAAGGACAAAGTGTGTTCCTATTGAAGGTCATGTTCAAGAGACTGAGTTAAATTTATTCAGAAATAACCCTGTTTCCATGCTGTATACTAACTCATGGCACTGGCCAGCAAAGACTGGCTTTCTTCATAGGACTCTTGCCATATGTCCCTAAAAATCTGGGATGGTTCTGAAAGTCCAAGTGACCAGCATAAGGCTTGGGCATAGAAGACATTTATCATGTAGAGAAACTGATGTCTTCCCTGCAATACTACTGTTGGGCATATACCCAAAGGAGGCACATTCACACCAAAAGGACATTTGCTCAACTATGTTCAGAGCAACATTATTCGTAATAGCCAGATCTTGGAAACAACCTAGATGTCCCTCAACTGAAGAATGGATTAAAAAAAAAAGGTACATTTATACAACAGAGTACTATCCAGCCTTAAGAAACAATGACATCCTAAAATTCTCAGGCAAATGGACAGAACTAGAAAAAAAAACCATCCTAAGTGAGGTAACCCCAAACCAGAAAGACAAATATAGTAGTTACTCACTCATAAGTGGATACCAGACATAAAGCAAAAGATACCCATCCTATAATTCACCACCCCAGAGAAGCCAGAACCCTCTTCCAGAAACAGATGGAAGCAGATGCAGAAATCCACAACTAACCAATGGGCCAAGCTCCTGGGGTACAATCAAAGTGAGGGAGGAGTGATAATATGAACAAAGGAGTCAAGACCATGATGGGGAAACCCACAAAATCAGCTGACCTGAGCTAGTGAGAGATCACTGACTCAGGTCTGACAAATGGGAAATCTGCATAAGACAGAATTAGACTCTCTTAATATAGGTGACAATGGTGTGTGACTGGGACAATATATGAGACCACTGGCAGTGGGTCCAAGATCTAACACTAATGCACAAACTGATTTAGTGGAGCCCATTCTATATGGAGAGATACCTTTCTCAGCCTAGACACAGGGGTGTGGGGGTGGAGAGGTGCCTTGGTCCTGCCTCAACTAGATGGACAGACTTCCTAGGGGAGGCCTTACCCTCCTCCTAGGAGCAGATGGGAGGTAGGGGGTAGAGTGGGGGGGGATAGGAGAAGAGGAGGGAGGGGGAACTGGGATTGGGATGTAAAAATAAATTAAAAAATTAAAAAAAATAAAAAAGTAACTGATGTCTTTATACTGTGTGATGTCATTTAACTCAATGCAAAAGAGACCACTATGTCCAAGGCCTGTTCTCAAGACAAAGATGTGTGGGTGTTAGCCTTATCATCAACTGGAAAATCTGGTGTGTTCTGTCTCCACAGCCAGACTCTATCACCAAAGAATCCCTTCTTACCCGGGGACATCTTCCAACTACTGGGTTCAGTTGCCTGCAGGGAAACAGAAGATGTCCATTTTCACTGATCTCTGTCTGTCACTGAGTGATAAGAGCTGGGGGTGGGGGAGGTGCCGGATCTGAGGAATGGCTCGTTTTTTGGGCCACACTGGCAGGACAGGATGCTCCCTAACAGGCAGCTTATTGTTGAGACATAGAAGGATCTTTTCTTCTTGTATATGATGCCTTTTTCATTATGTCCCTCATCTGTCTCATCTTAACAATCCAGCTGTAGGATACTGAATTTTCGTGTACTGATCTCCAGGCTAAGAGAAGAGCCGGCTATTTCTGCAGCATCATAGCAGAAGCGATGCGTGTGGGCAGGGAACACGCTTTGGACTCCTGTATGGATCTCTATTTACTGTGCAGCAGGCGCTTCCAACCAGGGACGAGCGTGTGGGATTCTATTTTAGAATTCTGCAAGTGTCATTCTGAGAGCCTAACCTGGTAGAGTTAGCTCTAAAAAGACTCCCCGAACAATTAAAAGCAATAGACCGAAGGAGCCATACGGGATGAATAAATTATTAAACTACTAGGAAGTTGCTATAAATATGCATGCAATTCAATAATTCATAATGGACTGGCACAAGAAGGCCCTGCTGGCTATAGAAGCAGCTAGCATCCTGGGACGTGTGCCAATGGCTTCTTGACAGACAAGCGTGGGTGCAGAAGCCTTTGCAGGAGAGGCCCTCAGCACTCACAACATGCCAGTGAGAAGCTCAGTAGACATGAGAGCCGTTGGCCAGGTTGAGAGACGGGGCATGTCCCTTAAACTCTCAGGGCAGGAAAGGGCACCTTTAGCTCACAGCTCTCTGCCCCAAGTTTCCATTGCAGCTCCAATCTCTTCTACCAGGGATCACTAGGGCTTCCAAAACTGTTTCTCAGTTTCAGAACAAAAAAAGATTTGTTATTGCACTACGGTGTTGTGGAGGCGCGGGTGTGCAGTGTGCACGTGGAGGCCAGAGGACAACTTTTGGGAGTTGGTTCTCTTTCTACCTTATTGAAGCAAGCTGTTTCAGCTGCTCAGGGGTATTCCTGGCTGGCTGCTTCATGAGCTTCTCTTGCCTCTACTTCCCATCTTGCTAAAGGAGCTTGCTAAAAAGGTTACGGATGCCACACTGCATACAGGTTTGCTTGTTTTGTTTTTCTTTTTTTGTGGGGGGTGTTTCTGGGGATTGAACTTAGTCTATTAGGTTTGTATGGTGAGTGCTTTTGACTCACTACACCATCTCACTGTCCTGCTGCGTCTCAGATTTTATAAGGCCTCATGTCCTGTAAGAGTGAAGGACTCCCTGTGGTGTGGGGAAGGGAAGGGGAAGGGGAGGACCTTCACAGCCCACCATCAAAAACACATTCATTCGTCTACAGAAAAACACAGCATTACCCTGAGGAGGAGAGATAAGGCCCAGAAGCTCACCTCGGGGGCACTGTCATCAGCATTTTAGCTTGGAAATGTGAAAACAGCACAGATTTCCAAGCCCCCCTCCTGCCCCCACCCCATCTCATCTGCCTGCCTCCGTGGCACTGGCACTTTCTGCTCTATGCACCCTACCTGTTTCTATGCCACACCCTGCCCACTGGGACAGAGGAGTGGACCTGGCAGAGACAAGATGGTAAAACTGTCGTGAGGCCTTTCCCTCAGATTGCCTAGAAAACTTCTGTGCAGTCCCACACATGATCTGCAAAGGGCAGATTCTCAATGAAAACCACCTGCCAGGTAGAGGGGATGGTACAGCCTTCTGAACTGCCAGCTACAGCTTGCTCTTCTCTTCCCTGACCTCACTGAGTACGAACACTCTGGCTTGTGGCTTGATGGTGTTTCACTGATGTCTGTGCCTTTCTGCCCATGGTCCCTCAGCCTCATATACAGGCCAGGACCACACAGTGCTGACCTCATCCCATACAGATGAAGAGGAGGCTGAGAGCTGAAGGGGACCTAGCCTGTGTTCACAGGACTCTGTGTGGCCATTGCATGTACAACCTCAGGATTGTGGCCCATGACATCTAATTCTTGGTATCTCTGATATTATTGTTTGACTGATGGGACCCCTGGCCTCTTGAAGACACATAGACACAGACAGACACACATACATACACCCCAAACAAACAAATACATAAGTAAAAAAAGAAAGAAAGGCCGGGCGTTGGTGGCATACGCCTTTAATCCCAGCACTTGGGAGGCAGAGGCAGGCCGATCTCTGTGAGTGAGTGCCAGGATAGGCTCCAAAGCTACCCAGAGAACCCCTGTCTCGAAGGAAAAAAAAAAAAAAAGAAAGAAAAGTTGTTGCCTATTGTTACATAAATGGTGACAAAAGATTTAGGATTCAAACTCACAGATTTGTCAGCAGAGCCTGGGCTTCCAGCCATAGATGATACGCTTTGAAATTCAAACTCTGAAATGTAGTACAGTTCTTGCTATGCTGTGTGAGACACCCCCAGGCTCATTGCTGAAGGCCTGGTCTCCAGTTGACAATGCTGTTTTTAGAAGTTTTGGGAACTTGTGAGAGGTGGAGGCCAGCTGGAGGAAGGTCACTGGGAGCACATTCTGGGGGCTGGCCCTTGTTCCTGGCCTCCCTCTCTGCCTCTTGTCTACCACGAGTAAGTGGTCTCTGCCACATGCTCCTGCCACCATGATGCTGGGCCTCAACTCAACGGTGCCAAGGACTATGGGTAGGAACTGTGAGCTGGGCCCCCACTCAACAGTGCCAAGGACTGTGGGTAGGGACTGTGAGCCAAAACACACAATTCCTTCTTTTCCTCTGGCAATTGTCACAGTAATGGAAAAAGTGACTAAGTCACCTACATTATGGTACTGTCACAAGGGTGGATCTGCTACAGAATGTCTGTGACCAGAACCTGTAACCAGATACACCATAGGACAGAAAAGTAGTGTGTCCCTAACAGGGGGACGAGTTTTCCAACAGACTACAAGCTTAGTTCCTGCACTAATTTGAAGTTTGTGTTTGCCAGGGGAAGGACTACAGACAACATGAGAAAGATGGCAGGAGAATATTAAAAACCCCTAATCCTAAGAAAACAAGACTTTGGAAGGAAATTAGAAACATCCCATAATAAGAATCTCTACACAAATAATTAGTGTGTTTATTACGGACACTTCTGCTTGTGCATGAATCACATTTCCCTTAGACAGGTTTGGACTGCAATATGAAAGGGAGCTCCGCATTGCTCTCTCACTTGGTCAGTAGATACAGATCAGACTGTCGTTCAGTAGCAGCATGAACTGCCAAGGTTTTGCACCTTGCAAATGTTTATTTGCCGTTGAGACACACACATGGTCCTAAAAAGACTGAGGTAAGCTGCTTGTTACAGAAGATATACAGAGGCCCAGTTCCAGCAATACACAGCTATTCTGTCTATGCCACGTCACTCTTGCCTGGTGTACAAGACCCAGATGTAGCAGACTCCCAGACAGGGCATGGCCATAGGGAAGACACCATGTAGATGCCACCATTGGAGGCTTCACACCCTTACACACCTCCCGAGTGTGACCAGAAATGTCCGATGATACTCCCAGAAGGTGCTATGCAATAAACAGCATTGTGGGATGAACAGAGTTTTGTGGCTTTCTCTGAGGCAAGGGTCACCCCTTTACCTGGTCCCATGCCACGGTGCACTGTGGATTTCCAACATGTGCCATAGGAGGTCATTTGCTGGATGCCCAGGACCTCCTGATCACGAGAATAAGAAGATGACCTCAGATGATGTGGTACAAAGAATATTTTCAGCCCTCTGCCTGGCTTAGATGGAGGCCGGGGAAGATGGTGTAATGGGGGAAATCCTTCTGTGTATATGTTTGTCTTATTGGTTGATAAATCCTTATTAAAAATAGTATATATATATATATATATATATATATATATATTAGTAGTTATGGTTGATAATTAAGACTGAGCTAGCAAATAAGAAATCCTAGTCATTGACCAGCAGCACTGTATCTAATATTAATCTCCGTGTGTTATTTTGGGGCTCTAATGTGGCAGTGGAACTCAGGAGGCTGGTGGAAAAAGTTATCATTACAATGGTGCCTCTCACTGGAGCCCGTAGCCTGGCCAGACAAAAATGCCCAGGCTGTGGGAAGGACAAGCCAGGATGGAAACCTAGGCTGGGCTACTTGCCAGCTGCTATACCTTTACACTTTCAATACCAGTGGTCCCAGGATCAGTCCGTCTCAGTGGAACAGCATGATAGCTGTGGGTAGATGGGCTGGTTACAGCTGACAAGACACCAATTCATAGTCACTGCTGAGAATGACCAGTGACCACCACCTATAACATGCTGCATCTTTCCACATGAGAGATTCTTATTTTGTTTCATTTCTGACCCAGAACCTCAGGCTCCACGGTCCTTGAGGGCTGAGGCTAACAACACCTAACTCTTCCTCTCCTAGCCATGCACCCACCATGCTGCACTGTGCCCCAGACATGGAGGGAATGCCGAACATCAGGAGCTATCACTCCAGGCAGCACACATGCATGGTGTACTGAGAGACACAATCCTGGAACCAGGGAGGAAGCGGTTGCTCCTCACTTAGAAATGACAGGGCAGGGAGAGAGGCAAGTCTGATGGATGAAGAGTAACTGGAAAAAACACAGGGTCTGAGGGCTGAATGACTTGATATGTGGAAAATTCCTTGGTCTACTCAGTGTTTTTCTGCTTGAACATGGACAGGAGACCTGTGGCCTGGCAATGTGCTTCCCTGCAGTGGGCCCTACTCTACTCGGAGGTGTAGAAGTGTAGAAGCAGGTCAGTGACGAGTTCCCAGATGACAGTTGTTGACCCTGAGACCGACTACTGACAACGTCCCGACAACCTGGCAAATGCCTTCTTTTTATTTTGGTGGTGCTAGACAAGCCATCGAGCTACATCCTTGGGTAGCCATAAAAATTCTTTAAAAATTATTTTACTTTATTTTATGCATATAGTAGTTTTGCCTGCTTGTATATCTGTGCACCACGCACATGCCTGGTGACGTTGGTGACTAGAAGGTGGCGTTCAGTTCATTGGAACTGGAGTTTAGAGATGGTTCTGAGCCTCCAAGTGGATGCTGGGAATTGAACCTGGATCCTCTAGGAGAGCAGCAAGTGCTTGTAACTGCTGAGCCATCTCCCTAGTGCCCTGTGTCCCCAACAAATACTTGTTGAAAATAACTGTTGGGTCAAAACTAGGTAAACAGCACCCATCTCAAGCAATACAATAATGTGTAAACACAAGCATCACAGAGCGTGTGGGTAACCCAAGTCTGGATAACTCAGTTCTGTGACACCATGGGAAGAAGCAGGATTCAGCAGGGTGGGGGGGTGTCAGTATAGCTCATCACCTGTGCCCCTAACCACAAGAACCCAGCACAGAATTCAACAGGAGCTATTTATCACCTTCTGCACATGTCAGCTTGTCACATGCAATAGTTAATCTGATGATCCTAAATTGGGCCTGACAGCATGTCTCTTGATACATCATGCCCGGATTTAGCAGCAATAAACAACGTTGTTAATTTCTCCGACAGGGGAAACATATCGGGCCAGGATTGCTTGGTGTCCACTTCACAGCAACTCTGCCATGGCTTAGTGAGCACTGTGGCCAGTGTTTGCCATCGTGATACCCAATGACTTCTGTAATTACTGCATACCAAACTTTAGGGACAAAAAAGGGGTATTACAGTGAGATGTAGAAATAACTGCCACCCGTGAAAAAAATCAGTGAGAAAATGAGGCTGAATAGACCCAAAAATGTTTAAAAAAGAAAAGAAAAGAAAAAGGAAGAAAGGAACTCAGAAACACAGTCAATATGCAAGGTAAATCGAAATCTAGATGTCTTCGGGTACCAAGAAATAATCTCTTAAATCTAGCTCCTCTGTATTATGGTAACTCTAAACATTTACTTTGGCAAGGGGTGGCTGCCAGAGGCCACACTGCACCCAGGCTGGATGCCACCTATTAAGATGTTTTAACGTAACAATAATGGCCTTCTCGCTCAATACCCAGTGGATGACAATCGTGCTTCCTCTTCTTCGAGATTGAGACCCCACCATCCTCTAAGGTCATGGGGGAAGGAGCCCACAGAGCCGGTATTAATCAACAAAGCCACAGTGTTAGGTGGCCAGAGTTCGATGTTCCAAGAAATCTTTTTACATGTTATGTTTCCAGCCACTGCATCCACAAAGTCCTGACACTGTAAGGGACAGCCACTCCTCAAAGCTGTATTCCTTGATGGCATTGCAGCGGTGAGGAGATATAGACAGACATGCCCTGAACACTTGTGTCACTGTTTCCTTTGGCCACCACAGCCACCTCTAAGGAAGAGCAAGCACTTGAAAGCAGCCGGGTCTTTAGTCTGTCTGAGGCAGTATGTGCGGAGACTCTAACCCTGGCAGAGAGATAAAAAATTAAACAATGATAAAACGCAGGGGCGTGCACGCACGCACTCGTGCACACACACACTCACACCCCCCCCATAGTTTGATAATTCATAGTTTGCTGGCAACCCACTCTCCTAACAGGCCTTACATTTCTCCATGATGCCTTATATAGGATCCACTAGACTTGTACACCGGCGGTCCTTTACTCTCTAGGCCATCCTACCAGTACCATGACTTGCTATTAAGTGTGTGTCCTGTATGTCCTTGGGACACTAGAGAAAGGTAGAGCCTACAAGGGGAGGAGGAACTTGCAGGTTTACCTATTAAGAAGACCCACATAAATCTATAAGATGAGAGTTCCTGGGCTGCAGAGATGGCTCAGTGGTTAAGAGCATGTACTGCTCCCAAGGGTTCAAGTTTGGCTCCTAGCACTGATATCGGTTGTCTCATGACCACCTCTAACTCCCGCTCCAGAGGACTTGGTGCCTCTGGCATCCTCGGTTACCTGCACTCATATACCTGCTGACACACTTGTACACAGCTGAACAAATAAGCATAGGAACAAAGAAACAAAAATCCCACAGGAGGTCCTGAGCATTTTCAGTAACGGGAGACTGCAATCCATAGGCACTAATTAACACAGGCCCTTCCAGGGAGAGATGCCGTCACAGACTCCAGGCCAGACACTCAGGTAAATGAATAAACATGTGCATTCAGGCTTCTAAATCAATCTAACTCTCCGGACTACAGTGGCTGTGCATTTTTTCTCATGTCTTTGTCTTACCCTCATTAGAATGTTGAATGGCAACACCTTCTATTTTGGGTACCGAAAAGGGGACTTTTCTGTCCAGCTCTGCATCTCAGGGACTGTTTATTAAACTGTTTGCCAGGCGTCTGTTTGGAAGATGGCTGCAGCAAATGCCCAGCTACAAATGGTGGATTGTTTGGGTGCAAAGAAAATGTCCAGCATGAAAAGTAACCTGTGGGGTAGGACTAATGCACTACCGGGCACAGCACACACTTGCTGTGTGCTGTACATATGTTGCACAATATTTTCTGTGAAGCCTTTATAATAAGCACAAGGCTGGGGAGGGGGCTGAGATGTTACCAGCACTGAATGCTATTGCAGAAGACTTGGGTTCCCAGAACTCACACAGAGGCTCAGAACCATCTGTAACTCCAGTTCCAGGCGAGCCAATGCATATATACATGCAGACAACACACACACACACACACACACACACACACACACACACACACACACACACACACACACACACAAAAAATAAATCAATAAATCCCAACTTATTTAAATTAAAAAACCTTACAGCACCTCTAATCCTGGAGTGGAGTAAATTTGAAACGTGGGAACTAGCCTCCCAATAGAGATGTTCTGCAAGGACCAACCAGCAAGCTCTCCGTAGAACGGTCTCCTCCAGTCTCTAGGCAGGCTCCAGGAACCTCATGAATAGGAAAACTCACTAAAGCACTCCAGGCTTTGACCACTTTTCAAAACTACAGATCCTCCTTTTCTTCCCACCACCAATGTCGCATCAGGAAAAGAGATGTAAAAATTCTGGGCTCTAGACAAGGGCACAAGCACCAAAGCTTAGTGACCTACCTGTGACCACCCAGCCGGCATAGGCCAGGACCCCAGAGACAACTGAGGTGCAGGGGACAGAGTCCCAGGCAGGTCAGGGTTCCTCTGCTTAGGATGAAAATGGTCCATGCGTAACTCTGAATCTTGGAGGTGACATGCCCCTAAGTTGTTTAATTTAACATCACACATGTAGTCAGTGACTGAAAAGGATGTTGGACAGACTAACAGGAAAGAGTCAAGCTCAAGCCTGTGATGGGGGGGGGCGAAAGACAAGGGGGGGGAAGGCTGCAGGGGAGGAGGCTGAAGGGGAGGAGGCTGCAGGAGGGGAGCCTGAAGGGGAGGAGTCTGCAAGAGGGGAGACTGAAGGGGAGGAGGATGTAGGGGAGGCTGCAGGAGGGGAGGCTGAAGAGCAGAGGTTCCTTGCTTCCCTGGCTTGGGCTGTCCAGTCCTCTCAGAAAAGATCCGCACCACAGGCAAGGTCTGAACTACCCCAAAGACACCTGGGGATTCCAGGGCCGCCTGCTGTCCAGCCCTACCCTGCCTACTTCCTGCCTTTCTGACACTTTTAAGGGCGCGGTCTTGCCAGGGCCAGAGCATTCTGCCTTCCTTTCCATCTACAGTCCAGCATGGAACAGGCTGTGGCTCAAGGAAAAGAAACCTCACTCTTCAACTGTCTTTGTTTGTGGCTCCATGGGTACCACCCTTCTCATTTAAGGCAAGTTTTGTTTTTTCCACTTAGGGTCATAACAGGCTTAACATCAATGAGTCATCAGTTTTACCATGACTCAAACTTCCCCCATTTGTATTTCTCCTTCCTGGTTTCTTTTCTTTGCATCAGCCTTGGGGATTTCTAGTCTTGGAAACTAGGGTGTCCATCTGTGCCCCAATGTGTCCAGTTTGGAAGTATAGGATCCTAGATTCTGGGTTGGTTGGTTGAGATGTGGACTGTCATTCCACACTAGCAGCCGAAAAAAGGCTGTCTCCACAGAAGCCTGGGCCACTTGCAAGACACTTGCACACCAGTTGCCCTAGTGTCATGTGACTCTCAGTGCCTGAGCTGACAGCAGTGTTCCCTTCTGTGATGGCCTGAGCTGGGTACCAGCGTCCAGTAAAGAAATCCTATTCTGCAAAGATGCTTCGGAATTGCAAAGTTACAGGCAGACCCCCCCCCCCCACACACACCCTACTCAACAATCTGCCCCAGGTCTTCAGGAAACAGCACCAGTCACCAGAACAGAGGTGGTGTGCTGGAGGGCGGCAGACACCTCTGGAGTTAGACATTCGGGCCAAACCTTAGCTTGGCCAGTTCTTTCTGGGTGATCCAGAACATGCCCTTAGCCCTTCTGGGCTGAACTCTTCAATCATAAAATGGAGCCACATCAAATTCCCTGCAGGACGTGAACTTGATGAGGCTGAGGGTATGAGGGCAGCTTACATTTGCCATTATTTGGTCATGAGACTTCCTGAACAAGGCTGGATTGCTTGTTTAACATCCACGACAACCTTCTAAACCTCTTATCCCCCAGGGCCCAGGGAGGATGCATGTGATTACAAATTCAGTAGGCTGAATGACATACACTTTGCAAAGCAGATTAGAGTCCCATGAAAAACATTTGGAATGCTACTCTGTGGACAGCTCTGTCTCTGTCTCCTCCTCCTCCCCTCAGGGGAACCTGCCAATCCTGAAGTGCATCAGGGAGTTGTAACAACTCTCTCATGAAGGAGGTTCTTCCTCTTACAGTGCACACTACTCAGGCTGAGGAGTATGTACACCTTAGAGGAAGGCTCCCATCTCAGTGCCCTGGCAGTGAAGGGAAATGTGTCCCAGGTCCAGCAGATCCACAGATACAGATTGGCCTGTGGTCTGCCATCACATTAGTGTGGGAGACTCTGCCCACTCCCTGTTACCCAGAGGAGGAAGGCCATGGCTGGTAAGGTCCTGGTCCAGGGGGTAGGAGACCAGGACTGTGAGTGCTGTTCAGCCTCTGCTCCAACATGCTAGTCTACCACTGTGTGTGTGTGTGTGTGTGTGTGTGTGTGTGTGTGTGTGTGTGTGTGTGTGTGTGTGAGTCTGTGTGTGCCCCAACATGCTAGTCTACTACTGTGTGTGTGTGTATGTGTATGTGTATGTGTGTGACTGTGTGTAAGAGAGAGAGAGAGAGAGAGAGAGAGAGAGAGAGAGAGAGAGAGAGACTCACTGAAGAAAATTAAGAGAGGGAGAGAGAACAAAGACCTCAGCCCTCCTTTTTTCTCTCCAGATCAGAGAAAAACCATCACCATTTCCAGAGAAACAGGAATAAAAACCAGTCCAGTGATCCTATAACAGCAGCCCCTTGAGCATCAGTTCCCACAGTGAAACAGTGGTGTCATGGTGACCAGGTGTCACCTGTGCATGCAGTGGGATCCTCCCTGATATGAGGCTGGCTGACGTTGCACAGGGCTCTGGTGACATCCCTCTCTTCTCTGGGGACAGGGAGACAGCTCTCCTTGACTGCAGACACCAGCAGCCGACTCAGGGGTGAGGGGTGAAGTCTTCCCTTCTCTACTCTGGATGGATATGGGATGGTGCTTAAGCCTCTGCAGCCTGGAGGACTGGAATGCTTCCAGACAGAGCAATGCCATCTTGGGGGTGTGTCTTGGCTGTAAGGATCCAGACTGCAGAACTTCGAGGTATCCAGAATGGATTCTCGACATGTCAGGACAGCAGGTGGCTGACATAGCAGGGCATGACAGAAGCAGCACTAGGAGCTTGTAGGTAGAGAAGCGGCCATGATCGGGTCAGTGCTATGACAGAGGGAGGCCCTGGTACTTATGTGAATCCTAAGTCCAAGTGTTTCTCAGTCTGCTGGGCCACAGTGTTCAGTGGGACCACACAGTCAAGTGTGAGGTGTATGAGGGAGGGGATTGTGGCCTTGATTTCATTGAGGAGTATAGGCAGACCTGTAGCCAGCCCCTAAGCAGGCATGGCTACAGGTTACCCTACAGAGGAGGGGACTTCCTCTTGACATTGAGGAGAAAGTGCCGATTCCTTGGCTCAACAAGGCATCTGGGAAGCAGGAAGGAGAGGGACATTCCAGGCATGCTGAGTCTGTAGGCAGTCTGCTATGTTTCTGCATCTAGACTGAGACAGCCAACCAACAGGCATTGAACACAGAAGAAACTGTGGAGGAAATTCCCTCCCTGTCCTGGGCGTGCACAAGCATGTGGAGGCCAAAGGTTGACACTGAGCATCTCTCTCAATGGCTTTCTACCTCATAGTAGATCTCAGCTCTGCTAGCTAGTAAGTCCCATGGACCCTCTGACTATGTCCCCCAGAGCAGGATAACAGGCACAAAATCCTACACCCAGCTTTTCTGAGGGTGCTGGGTACTGAAACGGTTTTCATGCTATGTGAAGAGCTTTACTGAC